TGGGAGAGTGTGGTGCTGACAACACCAAGGCCACGGGTTTGGATCCCTATATAGGGATGGCCGGTTAGCTCACTTGGGAGAGCGCGGTGCTGACAACACCAAGTCAAGGGTTAAGATCCCCTTACCGGTCATCTTTTAGAAAAAAAAAGAGAGAGATTCTGGGTGTGTCTGGGGGAACTTCATAGCACCCTGTAGGCCATTGTAAACACTTTGGCTTTTACTCTGAGTAAAATGGGTGGCCATTGGAGGATTTTGAACAGAAGAGAGACATGATTTGATTTTCAGTTTAAAAGGATCGCTCTGGCTGCTTTCTTTAGACTAGAAGGTGGTGGAAGCAGGGAGACCAGTGAAGATGGTACTGGGCAAATCCAGGTGAGAGACGATGGTGGCTGGGACCAGGATAGTAGAATGGAGGTGGTGGGAACTGTTTGAGCTCTGGAAATATTTGCCAATGGTATTTGATGATACACTGCATGTGGGGTGTGAGAAAAAGAGAACAGTCAAGAATTGACTCCTAGATTTTTGGCCTCATCAAATGGAAAGACGGAGTTGCAAAGAACTAAGATGAGGAAGACAGCAGGCAGGCAGGTCAAATTTGGAGGAAGAGCAGAAGTCCTATTTAGGCTAAGTATCAGTCCAGGTTCTCCAAAGAAATGGAACTAGTAGGAGATATATATATATCATGTGAAAGGACAAAATTACAACAAATTTAGTTAAAGATCGCGATTGGCTTTATTGTGATTCTACAATTGGGCAATATCTTTATGGTAGAATAAGTGTTCCAATGAGCTGAATAAGAGGTTGACTTCATAGAAAAAGAGCTGAAGAAAGCAAAGAACAAAAAGTGGGTTGGTCTTTAAAGTTACTTTCCTTGTAAGGTGGGGACAGGGAGAAAGAACAGTAGAAAAACAAGTGATTATTTAGCATCAGGTTACTCCAGGCTATCCTTTTTGTGAAATGATTAAAACAGAGGGAACATCCTTATTGTGCCAATTAAAGACTTAAACTGGCTTGTTTGGGAAATTGGCAGTTATCTCTCCCGATTTCTCAGAGGTCAGACAACTACTTAGTTTGGGTTTGGTCACGGGGAACTTTTGCAGGGGTGACTCCATTTTGATTTTTAGTCTGGTCTGTTGCAGCCTAGGCAGTGGCCTCTTATAATTTTTATTTAATTTATATTAAAAGGAACTGGTTACACAATTGTAGGGTCTGGAAAATTTGAATTCTGTAGGGCATGCCTGAAGGCTGGAAACTTTGGGGACAGGAACTGATGTTGCAGTGTTGATGCAGGATTTCTTCCTCAGGGAAATCTCAGTTTTGCTCTTTTTTTTTTTTTTTTTTTTTTTTTTTTAACAAAGATGACCGGTAAGGGGATCTCAACCCTTGGCTTGGTGTTGTCAGCACCACGCTCAGCCAGTGAGCAAACCGGCCATCCCTATATAGGATCCGAACCCGCGGCCTTGGTGTTATCAGCACCGCACTCTACCGAGTGAGCCACGGGCCGGCCCAGTTTTGCTCTTAAGGCCTTTCAACTAATTAGATGAGGCCTACCCACATTATTGAGGTAATCTCCTTTATATAAAGTCAACTGATTGTAGGCCGGCCCGTGGCTCACTCGGTAGAGTGCGGTGCTGATAACACCAAGGCCACGGGTTTGGATCCCATATAGGGATGGCCGGTTTGCTCACTGGCTGAGCGTGGTGCTGACAACACCAAGCCAAGGGTTGAGATCCCCTTACCGGTCATCTTTTAGAAAAAATAAATAAATAAATAAATAAAGTCAACTGATTGTAGATGTTAACCACACCTACAAAATACCTTCACAGCAACATCTGAATTGGATAACTAGGTACTATAGCCTAGCCAAGTGATAGAAAACTAACCATTACACTGAGTTTGAAATGTCCATTAGATATTTTGGGGCAGTTGTAAACAAGTCTGCAGTCCTAGAGATACCAGTTTTTTTATTGCAGTAAAATATACATAACATTAAATTTACTATTAATGATATTTAGTACATTCACAATATTGTGCAATCATCACCACTATCTAGTTCCAGAACATTTTCATCACCTCAAAAGGAAACCCATTAATCAGTCACTCCATCCCTGCCTCCCCACCTCCCTGTCCCCAATCCCTGGAAACTGCTTATCCACTAATCTGCTTTCTTTCTTTTTGTTTTTGGTGGCTAGCCTGTATGGGGATCTGAACCCTTGACCTTGGTGTTACAACACCATGCTCTAACTGACTAAGTTAACCGGCCATCCCCTAATCTGCTTTCTGTCTGTAGATTTGTCATTCTGGATATTTTATATAAATGGAATTACATAATACAGTATGTGGCCTTTGGCTTATTTCACTAAGCATAATGGTTTTGAGGTTCATCTATGTTGTAGCATGTATCAGTACTTCATTCCTTTCTATTGCTGAATAATATTCCGTTGTATGGATATACCATATTTTGTTTACCTGTTCATGAGTTGATGGATATTTGGGTTGTTTCTATTGAGTTGTGGCTATTGTGAACAGTGCTGCTGTGAACATTCATGTACAAGTTTTTGTTTGAACGTCTGTTTTCAATTCTTTTGGGTATATACCCAGGAGTGAAATTTCTGGGTCACAGGCTAAGTTTATGATTAGCTTATTAAGGAAGTGCCAAACTGTTTTACACAGCAGCTGCACCATTTTATATTCACACCAGCAATGTCTGAAGGTTCCAATTTCTCCACATCCTTACCAATACTTGTTATTTTCTGGTTTTGTTTGTTTAATTCTAGCCATCCTAGTGAGTGTGAAGTGGTATCTCATTGACTTGGTTTCGATTTGCATTTCTCTAATGACTAATGATGTTCAGCATCTTTTCATGTACTTGTTGGCCATTTGTATATCTTTTTTGGAGAAATGCCTGTTCAGGTCCTTTGGCCATTTTTAAATTGGGTTGTTTGTCTTTTTGATGTTAAGTTACAGAGACACAATTTTGAAATAAAGTTGTGGGGAGTGAGCAAGATGGAAGACACGTTGGGACCTAAAACCATATGGGCTTTAGCCAAAAAAAAAAGGGCACAGTTTTTTTTCTCAGCATGCATTTGTCTGGTGAACCCTTGCGCCTGGCTCCTTGCACGGAGCCCCCTCAGCTCACATCTTCATCCCTCCTGCTTTTCATTTCCTACATTTCATTCCATCAAACCCATCTTTAAAAAACTCAATAAAGGGGCCCGCCCGGTGGCGCACTGGATAAGTGCGCCGCTTGGGAAGCGCGGCGGCGCTCCCGCCCGAGGGTTCGGATCCCACATACAGACCGGTTCCTGCTCACTGGCTGAGCGAGGCGCGGGAGCAACACCGAGGGTTGCAATTCCGTTGCCGGTCCCCGGCCCGGTACGGGGGCAACACTGAGGGTTGCGATCCGTTGCCGGACACGGAAAAAGACAAAA